CACACACACACACACACACACACACACACACACACACACACACACACGCACACGCACACATGTTTAACAGTAACCTTTGAACATTCACTCAATTTATGCAAATGACTCAACCTTTAAAAAGGTAAAGAAGTCTGCAGCATCACATTCACTGATCTTTCTACTCCCTTTTCTTTTCTAAATATTAACGTGCATAATTCCCCAGAGGTTTGTAGCATCATTGCCAAAAAAACAACCGGATTGCTTATTCTTAGGGATTTTACGCTCATAGGAGACCTCCAAAATAAAACCCTGAGAGACTGGAGAATGACACAATGTGTGGATAATATTCATTAAAATACAGGTTGTTGCTTTAAATTGATGTTTGAATCAGACTCTATCCTTCCACATCAAATTGTTTTTGTCGTTTGTTTCCTGCTCCAACAAAAAACGGTTCATAGTTGACAGGAAACAATTATTGCAATGTACAGCAGCAACATGAAGAGAGAAATGGGCAGAACATGCTGTAAGCTGCTGGACTATGAAGGTATATTTGTGTCTTTATTACACAAACAAAAAAAATGTTTTAAGAGCAAATTTCTCACACTGCAATCAAAAATCAAGTTTGTAAGTTAAAATATATGAACTGAGAATAAATTATTTGTTAGTTTTGCTTATGAAACTAGAATTTTTGACTGCAAATCAAAATCAAAACAAAAACCTTTGCTCTCAGAAAATGATGGATGTAGTGGATATGAGCCAGGTGTTTCTATTGGTGGGTTCACTTGGCTCTTGGTATCTGCTTCCACTGTAAACACTGACGGGAGGTTACTGTGATGAGCGACATGGAGGTAAGTTGACATTATATTGCTGTTTTGTCAAAATGTAGCAGCACTTCACTTTGTTTTCATGTTGTTAGTGTCGTAGAGCAGTGGTCCCCAACCACCGGGCCGTGGATCATTTGGTACCGGGCCGCACAGAAAGAATAAATATTATATTATTTCCGTTTTATTGATTATCAGAGTCTGAAAGAAGTTTTATTTTGAAAAATTAATTATTTTGAAAAATTAAGCCCGCAAGCTAGCGAAAATGAGTAAATAGCTTTTGGAGAGCTAAGGAGTCAGAAGAAGAGCCTACAACTTCCAAGAAAATGAAAGCTTCATTTAACAGACAATATCAGGAGTCTAATTAAATATCAGGAGTAATTGTGACACGCCAAACCCGTTCTGCAGAATATGTGGCGACAAAGGATCAGCTGCTGGAGATTGTAAATGACGGCGGCCTTAATACAAGTAGGTTTGAGACAACAACTCTGCTGGTGTTTTGGATTAAAATCAAGGCTGAATATCCGGAGATCACCACTAAAGCACTGAAAACCCTGCTTCCATTAACAACATCCTCTTTGTGAAGCGAGATGTTCTGCAGTGACGGCAATCAAAACAAAATGACGGAGTGGACTGGATATAAGGAACAGACTTCGGGTGTCATTGTCTCCCATTACCCCCAGATGGGACCATCTCGTTGCAGAGAAACAAGCTCGGGGCTCCCACTGATTCAGCGTTGTGAGTTATATTTTGTATGCATTTTATATTTGTTTTCATGCCGATCGTATCATTTTATTTCGTCGTGTTTTTCCGCCACACCTTGAAGGCCGGTCCGTGAAAATATTGCCTTACATGAAACCGTCCGTGGTGCAAAAAAGGTTGGGGGACCTCTGTCGTAGAGTCTCTAGAGAGACATGTCGTAGAGACATGGAGGGCTGCTGTGTTGACATGAAGCCTCACTTTCTCGGTCAGAGAAAACCAAGCTCATAGGATTTATTTGAAATTGTGTCATACATGTGTAATCTCTGTGAGATGTCTGCGGGCTAAATGAATCTCCTGGAGCTGGTCAGACTTGTGGTAACAGCA